CCGGCGCGGGGGGAGCCCGCCGGGGGCTGCTGGAGCGGGCTCGGGGCCCCAGTCCCCGAGGCACCGGTCGCCCCCGCCCCGAGGGGTGGGTGTATGGCTCCCAGGGTGAAGGTTTTGAGGGTTTTTCTTCGTCCGATATCTGTAGGAGCTGGAATGTTTCAAAATATTAGGTGAGCGTGTGTTTCAGCGTGGTGCGGTGTCCTAGAGGACAAGCGAAACAAAGAGGGGATGCATAACCAAGTGGATTTAAACAGTATCGGGCGAAACTGCAGCAGTCTGGAGAAAAAGTTTCCGTTTCCTCTTTCTGACCCTTTCTCAGTCCCTTTCTCTTCTCCCTCGGGAAGCGGCGGGCTCTTGCTAGCCTGTTTCTCTCTAAAAGCCCCAGAGCTAATTTCATAGCTGTCACTAATTGCTTCTCAAGTTCTGTGCTCATCCCCCATTACTATTTTTTGCCTTGTTTCATTGCTTTCCAAAACAAAACAAACCTCTTAAAGCAGAATAGTAATTACAAGGGAAGAATTAACCTTTTATGTTTCTACTCTGGCATTTACTGTCCAGTTTCTTTCTATCTCGCATGGCCTTTACTCTGAGACCCTTTCTGCTTGAGTGATAACAAAAGAACAGGCGTGTTTGATGTATAAAGTAGGTGTAGTGCTGGTAGCGAAAGTTGTCAGACATCTCCCTTTTCTCAACTCTCTTAACTCTGGCAGAGTGATGCTTTTAGCAACCATGTTTACTCATTTCTTGGCTTTTCTGTGGAAGCCAAGCAAGGCTTCCTGGCTGTGGTCCCATTACCTCTCCTTTTCTATTTATCTGTTTAATGAAAATGGAGGAGAACACAAATTTACTGTGTCTGTAATGCAGAGTGGATACTGTTGAAAGGGGAGAGCGAAATCAAACTGACAATGTGTTTGCTATTTGAATCTGATTCTGGTGACTTTCTAATCTAAGCGCTTGATAGATTTGTTAGGTATTCACTCATATTTTGCTATAAAGCCACTGGGTTATTTCAAGGCACTGTTTCATACTTCTCCTTCTTTTCTGGAGTTGGTCAGGAACTGATGTTCCTTAGTTTGTACTGGAAGAGATTTCCACACTCTTTTTACTTGGTATCTTGCATTGAGGTAGTATATTAACATTATTTAAGTGAATCTACTGGTGATATCTGTAATAAAGATATTTGAATGCTTTCCTTTTTAGATGCATGAAGCTGTTTAAATTTTGCCAAAATTTGACGGCTCTGGCTGTCCTTTTTTTTAGTACATATCTTTGTCTCCAGCTTGGAACTTCATTGAAAAACATCATCAGAAAAAGCTCTTCTCTTTTCAAGAGTAATTTAGAGGAAGAAAAAGTTATTTAGTTTAAATTAAGGGTGTTCTAGTTTCAGCTGGGATAGAGCTAATTTTCTTCCTAGTAGCTGATACAGGGCCGTGTTTTGGATTCAGTATGAGAATAATGTTGATAACACACTGATGTTTTAGTTGTTGGTAAGCAGTGCTCACACCAGTCAAGGACTTTTCAGCTTCCCATGCTCTGCCAGGTGCACAAGAAGCTGGGAGGGGGCACAGCCAGGACAGCTGACCCAGACTGGCCA